TTTTGCAAGAGCTTTTGTTTTGCTTTCTTAATGTAGGAGGAGATCTGTAACATTGCAAGTCGGTCAAACTGGCATGGATGCATTTTATTGTCCTTCACAGAAACCTGACAAGTGTCCTAGCAACCCATTGCTGAATGCAGAATACTCTGTGCTTACTTGTGCTCCGAGGGGTCCTAGAATCCAGAATAACATTTTGGGATTGAAATTGGGAACCTGATGTTTCCAGTATTTGTATAAGCCAGTTTTTGTCTTTTTGGAGAACTTTTGGTGCGTAACTATCTTCATTCTGCAAATTATTTTTGTCTGTGCATGATCTTAAAAGAAAGAGCTGTGGTTGATAGGTTAAGTCTGCAAGTGAATGGATCAGAAGCCTGTCCACAGTCCTTCTGAAATGACTGTGCACTGGTGTACTTCTACATAGTTTGCAAAACAGGAATAGGGAAATAATTCTGGATTCCATAATACTGGGGTTCTATCAATTAGTATTTTATTACAGCAGATGTTGAAAGTTGTTGAATTTCATTTTGGATAAGGAATTATTAAAGGGTTAAAGAACCTGATTACTGCTCAGAAACATTCACAGGTATTATGTTTATAAATATAATGTTACTAACTAAATTTAGGGTCATAGTGGTAGCATGCAAGTGAAATTTGTTTTAATCACTTCAAGGTGTTTTAGATCTTGGAAAATATTCATTTAGACATTAGGCAGACAGTTGTTTATAAATAATGCCCATCCTTTATTACAAGAGATTAAATTTAGCATCATGGTGGATTAATGTTTCTGTGAAGCATTAGGAGTGAGCTGAGGGACTACATTCTACATAAAACTACTTTTACTGCAGCAATATACATTCTATTAATTCTTATAAATGGCAGTTCAGCAAAGCAGAAAATACATTTTCTCAGCAGAATGCCACAACTTTGTGTTCTTAAGAGAATTTAGTTTTGTTTATGTTCTGTTTTTATGAGATGGTACTGCAAGTGTTTTGTGCTCTTAAGGAAGCATTGAGTTTTGTTTTGTTTCTCTTTAATTGGTTATTAAAATGTTATTGTTCAACTGTTTCTGTTCATAAAATGTAGATCTTAACTGCAAAATCGATTTTGGGCAGGGACGGTCTATATCGGTCAGCCTCCACTTGTGACGGTCTTAATCCTGGCTTGTCTGCCATTTTAAAAATTGTCGCTCGACCTTATTTTTTGTCCCTTCTTCTGCACTCTTGCGGGAATGGGTTCTGTGTAGACTCACGCTTTTGAAATGAGTCAGCTGTCTTTTCCCTGTTTGCAGCTGTCCTGAGTGTTAATTCCTTGTTACAAGGTTTCTAATTGGGCATGTGTCTCTTCACGATTCTTGGAAAGATGCATTCAGTTGTGCTCGTCTCTGCTTCTCCTTTTAAAGGCTGCCCCAAATAACCAGAACGAGTAGCATGTACTTGTCTTCTAAAGGGCAAGATTCAGCGCCAGCAGTGAATACTGCAGCTTCAGCCGACATCAGGTCCCACAAGTTGAATATATTTGTCCTGTTAGGTGATCTCTGTACATAACTCGCTTAGCAGAAAGCAGTGTATTTTCACACACTGTAGCATTCGAAAAAAAATGTATATATTTTCTAGAGCTGTGCCTTTGCCCCGTGAATGTCTTGCTTTATTCAAATTCTAAAGAGTATTTCTCCCGAGAGTTTTTTAAAATTACAAATCTGACCTTTCTTTTTCCTCTGGGCTGGCACTTTAATGCTTTTTTTCCCATGTCTGCTTCCGACATCCAATCCTCAGGGGAGCTTTAACGCTGCGTTTTGTTACCACAGTGAAGAAGCTTTTGTTGTCTCTTTTTTAGCCTGAAAAATTGATGTGGAATTTAGTGTATTACTTTTATCAAGAGCTGTTCTGAAGCTTTCTCTGCCTGATATTCAGGGCCGTGGCTCCAGTTTTATTAATGACCTTCAGATATTAGCGCACAGTAGCAGCCCATTTTACATAAGGAGAAAAGGAGTTCTTTTTTAAGTCCTTGAGTTGGAAGCCATTATGTTTGGATTTATTATGGATTAGTCAGACAGTCTGAGTTGTAACAGGGGAGAGGAAAGTATGTGGCAAGTAGAGCCTTTATTTGTAAGAATTTCACATTTTCGGTCTCCCTTTTTTGTCCTTGGTGACAGCATGCTGTTAAGGGGATTTTAATGCTTCTGTTCGCAGAGCCATAATTGGCATGCCCACAGCGAGTGGTCAAACTTTCCATCCAATCACGCAGGAATATATCCTGTTAAATGTCGCCAGCTGTGCATATTATTATGGTAACTCAGTAGGGATTATGGGTTAAATCTGTGTAAATTACTAAAAAATAAGACCACACCTGGTTTATTTGAATCTCTTTTTACTTTAGGGGGGGTTGAACCGTCAGGTTATGCAATTAAGATAAGTTATGTTTGGTTCAGGGAATAACGGTGGCAGGATTTTACTCGTGCTCCTTTTCCTTCTTTTTATTCCTCTGAAACTGGAGCGAATGTGCGTTAAGCGTAATGGTATTAAGAAGAAGAGAACAGATTTAAACGGGAGACTGTAGCATTGGGCTTTTTTAATGCGTTGTGCAGTCAGGCCGTGAAAATATAGTAAACCTTCAAAGCAGAGATTTGACTATTACTTCTGTCAGGTTGTGACCCTAATGAACTTACAGATGTAACGGCTGGGGGCTTTGAGAAATCTTTGAGAGCTGCTGGTGGGAGGTCCACGTTTTAAAAAAAAAAAACTTTAATCTTGCCACCTCATCTCCTGTTTGCCTTCTCCCGGCATGCTAAATTAGTTAATGCTTTATGGCATCTACCGCAGTGCTAGTATCCCATATGAATAGCCATAATGAGAAGAAAAACAAGGAACAAACACTAAATAGGAAGCAAAGTGCTGACGGTATGATTTCACAATGGAGACCAGTGGTGTGAGCATGACAAGTGCTCTATTCATACAAGCCTGAGCTTACCTGATTTTCATCTGCAGCTTGCGGTCTGCCAAGGCTTGATAAAACAAACCCTGCGATTAAAATCTGAGCCCTAATTTAAGAACCGAAGTAAGTCTTGGTTGCCATTTTCTGACTTGCAAATTTAAGGGATCTTTATCATCAGGGTATCATCTAAACTAAGAAAAATGATCTTTTCAGAAGAACACTGTATGCGATACAACAAAAGATCTGATTTGCATCCAAATAAATGCTTGGATCAGCCTGTCAGCAGGGGTGTGCGGAGTTAGAGGTGGTCTTGTTCCTGTGCAGTACTTTATTTTTTGCAATCAGACAATGACAAAGCAAGTGTTTTTTTTTGTTTTACCTTTAAAAAAAATAATACTAGTGTATCTAGTATTTTTTAAGGAGTAGGTAGTATTAGTGAGTTAGTATTACAGGGGGAATGGAGTGCTTGTTTTTTTTCTTAAAAAAATTGAAATGTATTAAGGAAGATATAAGAATTGCTTAACAGTTCCTGCATAATCATGAATCCGTTTGACACTGATGTTAAACATTAGTGCCATCCAATCTTCAAAGAAACTGCTATTGTGATCTAGAGTTTGCACCAGTAATGGCTTGAGTATTCATTCATTATACTGAGAGGTCTTGTTGTATTCATCTTAATTTAATATTCATATATATTTATATTTAGGGGTTGAAGTTACTTTTGTAAATTAAGACTGATGACCAAATAAGTATAATTCAGCCCATTATGGTTTTCACAGAACCTAAAGGCCATCTACACTTGAAAGAATTAAAATTCCTTTGAATTTGAAATGATTTCTCGTCATGTTCCTTAATTTTATTTTCTAAGTTCAGAATTGCCAGGTATTTTGTTTTGCATCGCCTGTTGTCTTCAGATCATGGGTGTACAACAACATCTACATGCACCTACGTCCGCGCACACACACACACACGGGGAGAATGAGGACTTGCACACAGGCCTCTCGGACCTGCTCACCGCAGCGCTGCGCAGGGGGCCCAGTGCCGACTGGAGCGGGGGTATAGCTGCACCCAGGACTTGACCAGGCTCGCACATGCTTGGGAAGGGTGCCTTTGCAGGTGGTGCACCACTGGGGCCCTTGCCTTCCGTGTTTTTAAAGTCTGCCTCCCAGTCAAAGGCCAGCGCTCTCAGACCCTGCCTTGTGGAAGTAAGACGATTCTGTGCACTTGCTTTCTGTGTTGCACTTTTCCCCTTAACGCACAGCAGTAACTCTGAAACCAAAAGTCTCTTGACTTAGTAAAACAGATGTTTCCTGTCTGCCGCTACTGACGTTTTGTCCAGTCCTCTCTTAGTTTCTGCCGGAGAGCTTTAGTTGTATTTCTCGCGTTTGCTTGCTGGGACTGGTTTGCGCTCTCGTTGCGTCGTTGTTCTCGGCAAGAGCTGCAGAATTCCAGCCCTGCGGTGTCTGCCAGGGGTTTCATAGCCACCCAGGCTGTCAGCCACATAGCCTTTGGGTTAACCAGACCTATTCAACATATAAAGAGACCCCTGAAACCTAGATTGAGGGTGTTCATCCATTTGTCAACCACATACACTCTTAGTTTCGGCGAGACGGGGCAAATGGCCTTGTCTTGTTAGTAACTTTTATGTTCTTATTTTGCTGGCTGGCTGAACTGATATTCTTGCCTTTGCCTTCTGGTGAATGGCTAGTCTGCAAGCCTCTGTTTCCTGTCAGCCCATTTGTGACGACAGTTCTTCAAGCTGTTTTTCTCTAATCGGTAAATTAGCCACTAATCAATAGGCACTTTTCTCTCCATTGCGAAGACGGTGTTTGACAGTTTGTGGTAACACAAAACAGCCTACATGTACTTTGTAGTCGGTTTACTTTAAAAAAAGCATTTGACTTGTTGGGATATCTTACATTTACAGTCAGTGCAAGATTTTGAACGCTGAATAACTTAAATTAACAGCAAACAGAAGCTGATGCTAGCTAAACATGCTAATCCACCTAGTTTATATATATATGTGTATAAACTTTATGAATTTATTTTAAATGTAAAATGCCTTTGCTGTAAGGGTTCTGCCAATTATGGTTCTGTGTTGCTTGTTTTGTACAGAGTGCTTTTTCCATACATAAAGAAATGCAGGCATTATTATTTCCTTCGCTCCAGGAAGAATTAGATTAAAAGTGCTTGAGACTGTAACATTGTTTCCAATTTGTAGATGTCACATTTGTGACATTTAACAGGCACTCTATCCGGTCATGGTGACATGTTTTGCTGCGGTCAGGGTTGACAGTGCATGCAAGGAACTTCATTTTTTCCCCCTAATTATAATGCTTGCACTATGGTGATAATTGTCCTTTATGTGATTACTCCCTGGCTGTTGTGCTGGGTGGATTTTTTTTTAAAGATATCCAATTAATATGCTAATGAGCTGATAAATATTTATGCCAGATTTAAATTATGCAGAAAGCTTTCAGTGCACTCTGCAAAATGAATTGCTCACAGGACTTCAAAGCACACTCTGCAGCACTAACAAGGGGGGGAGATTTGCATAAGGCACTAATCAGCTGCATACTGATTAAGCTTCATTATGGAAACTGCCAGCTGCAATCTTTGTTTCTATTTTATTACAGAAAAAGGGGAACTTTTTCACACTTCAGTTGTCTTGACGATCACAGTGTAAAATAGCTAGCTGAGAGGCACTGAAAACTGCAGAAATACCGAAGTTTCCTTTTGCAGTGCTGCTTTCTCGGGCTGCTGTGGCATTACTCTTCTTGTGCTGTTAAATTTCAGTGTCAGTTCGTAAAAGTTTGTACTCCTAAGGGGTAGTGGACTAGATTTTCTTCACGGACTGGCTGTCATCATGCTGGACTGCAGTGATTATGCTCTAGGTGGGTGCCCTCAGCTCTTAAATAGAGCGTATTTTAATTAAGTGTTTGACTATTCATGGTTCTGCAACCATATGCAATTCCTCCACTGAATATCTGGATTAGGAACTTCATTCTGTAGGCAAAAGTGCTGGTTTTCTTCTGCTCTGCATGCGCAGGTCTGTGTAATTACAAAGCTAGATAAAGCAACAAGCACCTTGACAAAAACTGTTTGGAAAATGTTTCTCTTAAATGGTGGAAACGAGGCAAAAGATCTGAGAATGTACTGAATTCTATTAATCTGCTTTGGATGTTATGCAGTCTGTAGGTATATGAGGTGGTAAATCATAATAAAATGAAAAGAAATTAAAATGAGATTAAGAGTATCCTGTGTGCAGATAGCACTGTTGTACCTTAATATAAGGTATGAATTGACAGTTTTTAGGTTTATGTTTTGTAAAATAAAATGATCATGTATGTGTGCTTTTTGGGAGTGAAGGGGTTATAAATGTGTAAGTGCTTCAAATTTCCTCATCCGTTAAGTCAAAGATTTAATTACCGAAAATGAACTCGGAAATATATGTATTTTTTACTAGTAAAATCAGGGTTGAAATTTTTGATTAGCAATTCAAGCATTTTTATGCAGTGTTGGGTAAAATACTGAGCCTGTCTTTAACGTGGGTTTTATTTAAATGCGTAATGAACCAGCTGATCCTTAGTTTATGTAACAAATGGCATGCAAAGGATCTGTTTGTAATTAAACAGGCTCTTAGGGTTACAAATAAAAAAATGTGTATTAGTTGCCCACAAAAATAAAAAAACATGTTCTATTTTTGTGTGCTTCACACTGTGTAACAGAATTAGAAAGCCTAATCAACAGGATTCTGTTTGTTGTGAAAACAGAATCATTGTTCCATATTTGACACTTTTCAGTATCCCAAGCTGTTTTTAAATTATGTGAATAAGTCAAAACTGAAAACTTGTATGGTTAGCATTTTGTGTTGATTAATATTGTTTACTGAAGTGTAATTCTATTTCAGTATTTGTGCAGATTAATTTAATACCATTAATAATTTCAAATCTATGATGGGTAAAGGGAAAACCCAGAAAATAATTGGTTTGTTAAACAGGCTGGGAAATTTCTGGACCATTTTATTCCTCTGTATTAATTTCTTCTTAATGCTCTGTTTTTCTAGAATCAAGAATGAGTAATCCGTCAGAAACAAGTAAACCTTCAATGGAGAGTGGGGATAGTAGCACAGGTGAGTTTACTTTATCATCAGTTACTTCTCTGTATTGACTTAGGTTCAGTTTTTTAGTGTATCCTAGTTTTTACTGTATTATAGCTTTCCCGAATTTCATACACACTGTTGCAGTTTATAATTTTTAAGATTTTTTGTTGAAACGATTTCAGCGTTATAGAATTAGTATTTTATGTGATACCTATATTAGCGAAACTGAACATCTGTGTTTTTTTCTGTGCCGAAATCTGTCTCAAGGGTAGCTATTTTGGCTTTGTATAATTAACACGCAAAGGGGTTTGGTTGAGACATTGCCTGTTCTGGAGTTTTTCCTGCAGGTGGGCTAGTGGCTTCAGTATATACATTTGTCACATTTTGTGATTTCACTTATTGAAATGGAATTCAACGGGGAGACTGGGCGAATTAAGGTATTAACTGTCTATGGACAATTAATTCCTATTTCAAAGCTTTTGAAACATAAAAACCATTTGGGAGACGTACTCAAATTAAGAGTCCAGAGACTGATGTGTAGAGAAATTATATTTAACAGTTATGCGTGTGGTGTCTTAAAGGATTAGAACAAGGTTACAGGATTATCTGTGTATGCTCATGTCATGAGTCCTTCTGTATTTCTTTCAAGGAGAAAACTTTTAATCTAATTGATATTTTAACTACTTTTCATTACCAGATGTAATAGACAGGTTGTCTTTTCACCACTGTATTAAGCCTCAATGCACCAGGAATGTGCTTTTTCTGAGTGAGCACTCTGTATTCTCACTTAGAACATACCAGTTGTTTTTTAAAAGGTAGTGTTTAACGAGGAATCCTTTGTGGAATTTTGAAGGCAAGTATAAGGTGTTTAATTGAAGAAGAAAGGTTTGTAATTGCAATAGAAATGTCCTTAAATTAAGCTCCAAACAATTACATCGCTGAGTGTTATACATGGGTTCTAGACACTGATATCAGAAAATGGAGACTAGGCAATGTAAAGTGGCCTCTGAAAACCTTCATTGTAACAGTATGTATTTTTGAAGCATTTAATATACGTTTGTGAATCTGTTGTAAGTTTGTCATATTTCAGTAAATGAAAAGGGAATCAATTCAAATAAATGTAGACAGTATTTATTCTTTGCATTAAAATAATGAAAAACATGTTTGCTGGAGTAAAAGGAAAAATTAACCTTTTATTTAAATGAAGCTTTAAGGAACTTGTAACCATTCATGTTAATTTTAAGGCAAAGAATTCCTGCCTGTCGGCTCATTTATGCTCTGCAGCTGTTCTACCTAGAGTTAGATAGTAACCTTATAGGGAGCCCACCACTTTCTTTTAAACATTTTCAGTCATGAAAGTTTGCTTTATGCATGTATAGTCTTGGAACACCAAAGTTTTTAAATTTTTATATACAGTGACTTTTATTTGACCACTCCCACTTCCCACAGTAATCTCCATTAGGCTCTTTCCATCTTGTTTGATCTGGTAGAATTCCTCAACAGTTATTAAAACTATTAACTTTAAAATGAAAACTGTGATCAGATTTCTGTGTGGTGACTTCAGACTGATTTGAACCTAATGATAATGACATGTTGAAATTGCATTTGTGTTTGTGATGCCTTTCCCCGGGCTTCTGTAGGTGTGCCATTTCAGTCACTTCACTTCAGCTTTTACTCTTTAAAAAAAATAACCCTTTTTACCCAAATCCTTATCCTCTTCTAGGTGCCCAAACAAATGGACTGGACTTTCAGAGGCCATCTGTGCAAACAAGTGCAATCACCAATGCACATGCACAGGCCTTACTCCACCAGGTAAAACCTCAAGATATTTGTGCAGCGATCACAAATCTTTCTGTTTACATGCATTAAGAATTGCTCCGTGTACCTCTCTGTCTTGTTTTCAATCTGTCTGTCCCCAGATGTGTGTAAAATGTTTGTGTGTGGCCGCCTGCTTTGCAACAGTTTTCATACTTATATTGCACAAAATCCACAAACTGCCAGTTTAGGTTATACAGAATATTCATTTTGGGTGGCTGTTCATCAGATGAAAAAAACAGTAAATGTATACGTTATTTTGTACAGCAGCATGGACCTCATTTTTATGCATTTGAAGCAGATTTCATTTAATCTAAAAGGAATCTTGGAGGCATCTTCTTTAAAAGTATGATGCTTTCAAACACCCACAAATTGGTGGATATGAGGCATTTCTGAAATCTGCATGTGACAAAAATGTTAAACTCTGTTTACCTTTCTTTAGAGCTTGACAGTTCTTAAAGATGTCCATTTTGTAAACACTTGAGGTCCATCTTGCTGGAGCAAGCTTACAGGCTGCTTCTCAGACAGTAAATTCACAGGTAAAAATATCTTGCCATTAGCTCATCTTTATAGTTGAACTTCTATTTTAAAAAATAACTCTGCTACTGTATTAAAGCATGATGAGTCAGTCTTTGGTGGCAGCTACAAGCAGCCCCTTGGGTATTTAATTCAATATGAAATGATTATACAGTTTTTTGACCATCTGGAAAATCATTGTTAAACCTTTGTCTACAGGTAATTTTTAAAACAGCTGATATATAGGTTTCTAGGAGCTGTAGAAGTGCTCAAATATCACACTGCCTTTTATCACCTACCTGAACCTTACTCATCTAAAGTGTTGAAAGGTTAGTTAGTAATTAAAAGATTATGCCTAATCAGAACTTTGGAATGTGTTCTATTTTTATTCACATACCTAATACTGATGAGGTCCAAAAAATTAACCTCATACCCTTTACATTCAAACACTCCCCAACTCATGCCAAGATAACATCTGCTTCCATAATGTTAGAGCCCCCTTTTCTGGTTTCCAGCGCAACTAAGGATAAGAGATAATACATCTTAAATACAGATATGTGGTAGAAAGGCAGACAAAAATGACCTTCTCTTATAAGAAGAGACAGAAGATTGCCTCGGTTTCCATGGTGAAGTTTCATCTCTTAGACAGATGTTGGCAAACAGGCTGCATCTCCAGCACAACGTGTTTACAGTCCCAGTCTGTAATTATCTCAGAATGACTGGCAGAATTAATCAGCACGTTATGCTAATTACCTTCTCTGCAGTCTCAAAAACAGGTGGTGGAAAATATGCAAATCTATGCAGAATTTACATGCACTGCATAACCAGTTTTTAATTAAAATAAACCCTCTCTCACTGTATATCCCTGTGGGTTGCAGTATATTTTTAGTGCCATGTTCCTTTTAATTTTTTAAAGAAACGTATATAACAGAAATGGTAACCAGCATAGTGGTGTTGCAAAGATTTTACACAGATGCATGAAATCCTCTCACATTATTTCACCGTTTTTTCCTGTAACATTTTCTGTGAAAAAAAAAGATTAAGCAAGAAAAAGTTAATAGTTGCATTAATGAACAATTTTTAAATATAATGAAAGTGTAAAATCAGCTGTCATTTCAGTATTTCTGTAGATTTTATTTGATTTCCATAGGCACAAATTGGGTGTTAGTAAGACACTTCTTTAAGATGTGTAAAAACAGTACATTATTATCTGCAGCATGAAGAGTACATTATATTAATTGCAATTGAATACAATAGAACTTAAGCATCTCAATATTTTATTTAGAAACAAAAATGGTCTTTCTTACTGCTAATCTTCAAGGATAAGGTGAAACTGCTTATAAGCTGGGAAACAAGTGCTCTTTTCCTGCCACAAAACAGCACAATATGGTGTGAGTCACCCCAACTACAGCCCAATTCCAGTAACGAGGCATGTTCCCAGTTAAGGATCTGGCTCAAGCTGGTGCCCTGTGGTGTAGGTGTTGAAGTCATGTTGGAACTACTACTGTATGTGTTGGGGGGGGGGAGGGGGACATAATAAATAAACAGTAGTCATTTCCTGGTCTTCCTGTTGGCATGTGCCTTTATTGTCTTAAAAATACTCCCAGGGCATCTGGATCATGCTTTGACTAATGCCCAGTTCATGCTTCAAGAGCATTCCAGTCAAGAAACGAAAAGAGAATGCTTCTTCATGCTGATAGGCTGGATGTTGATTAACTTCTTACATGGGAGTTTTATTTCAAACGGGTCTTCTTGGACACTGCAAATTGCATCATAATGCATTCAGAAGGGAATTGGATACAAAGTTGATGTGGAGAAAAGTACAATTTAGTTGCAGGTATTTTAATCATATCAGTCATAATTATTGTCTAACAGGGCTTTGGCTGAAAGATCAGGATAAACGTTTCTTTGGACTGTGCTTTGTCTTCAAATAGCACAATACGTTGTGCTTCGACCTTAAACGTTTAGTTGTTTTTGTTTTGCCTGCAAACATGCATTAGAATAAGAAATTCTGCAGTATAACACGTCTTAAAAATTAACTTGTTTTTCAATTAGTTGAGCTGCTTATTAAGCTGGAGCGGTGTTACCACCCTGTAGTCTAATTTTGTCAGCCTGCAGAAACTTAACAAGGCTGGGCAAATTCGATGGCTTTCTTCCCCTGGGCTAGAATTTCTAAACCAGTGCCCCAGTGTGGTGAAAGGGAACAAGGAGCTGTAAGAGGTGCTGTTGTTCAGCTGAGATCCTGAATTAAAGATCTGTTGGCATGGCACTTTTTGAGATAGAATGGTTTTTAACCCTGGTCTCCTGGCTAAATTCCGCTGAGCTTGTACAGTCTGACCCTCTTCAACTTCCCCTCTTAATTCATTTGGTGAAGCAGTTTCTTATTTCTCTGTCTGCACTGCGGTGTAGTGGGGCTGCTGGTGCACTGTTGCATAATGACCATTATGCACCATGTGTGACCCAGGTGAGTGCTGTGCTTCGGCAGAAAATAAATTCCCCTACAAATTTAATTAGTACATCATTAAGGTGCTTGGTGATAAAAGAAAAAAAGACTATATTGTGCTATGTAAATGCAAGGTAGTAAATAAGTAAAAATGTGAGATCTAGGTGGGAGAAAAGCTTCTGCCATTGAGGTCAACAATTCAGTCTCAACAATTCTAAGACCTAAAACAAATTTTTTGTTGAGTCTTTTTATCATTAGATGGATAAATTCACCAGGTGTTTTCACCAGCCAAAGTTATTTTTGACAATTCAATGAAAACTCCTTTACATGCATTGAGTTTTGTTTGACTTTCACTGACAATAACTGGCAGATTATTTTAACTATGGTAATAACCTAAATATGCGAATTGACATCTACACATCTATTTCAGAAACAAAAAGTTTGCAACTCAACTGAGGAACTATTGAGTGCATAACCAACTTCTGCAAATCTACAGTAATTCAGGAATCCAAGTCTTAACAGCACTTTGTTACAGGACTGTTTCTTTATTGTTTTTGTAACTTGTGGTTTAAACGTTTAATAATTTATATTTGCTTCACTTCTGATAAACCAGGTTGAGTTCCAGACTGCCATTTCGTTGTTTCATCCACACATGACCTATAGCGCCAACTGATCCTGAGCCAAAACTGTAGCCAGTTAATTATTAGATCTGTATCATTCTAGCACCTGCACAGTTAAAAATGGGATTTCTGTTTCAACCAAAATGCCTGCCTATCTGCCATTTTCTTCTCAAAACACGCACTCTCTTGGGAACACAATGCTAGACCTGATATTCGGCAGCTTTCACCACACCAAGACCTGTTCCAGAATTGTACCTCACAGGTTGCAGTGGCAGTTTATACACCCACACTGGGTCATCACCTTCTTGGCAGATCATTCCCTGTCCAGTTAATGGCTCTTCTTCCAAAACTGTTTGACCAGTGAACTCTGAACCTGGTGGGTATCAGTCTGCTGTAGCTTCCCCTTAGTTTACTCCCAGATCACACACAGTTTTCCCCAAATTAAGAGTCTTGGAATCTCACATAACCACCTTCTATCACAAATACATCAGTATCTGTCAACTACTAAACCATGGGACCCGTGATCTTCCTTTATTTTTTAAACTCTGCCAGCAGCAGTATGGAGGTGTTGGTTTTCTAAAAAAGGTCTCATGCCAAGGCCATTCCCTCTCCAAATCAGGCTTTTCAGTTCACTTCTTTCTCATCTTGGTCTTAACATATGTGAATTTACTGTACAAGTATCTTTGCTACATGTGAAGAATGAAGATGACGAATTCTGAACATGCTGTCTACTAATAAAAGCTGACAAAATTAAGTTGGATATAAATTATTCTGCATAATCTATGAAACCTGTAAAACAGTATTTAGAAATTATTAATGTGTCTCACATGGCCTGAGTAGCTTACTTTAAGCTTACCTGGAAGAGCCGTTTTCACTGGCTGTGAGCTGCACATGTGAGTGTCGGCACATGCTGAATATCTTTAGAGTGTAGACACAACATCTCTGTGTTTTGGATTACATTTGCAATGATCTTTAGTGCAAACAAAGCAATAAGCAAACTGAAAACAAGGCAGGCATTTTGAATCGTGTCTTGTGTTGCTGCACAGTCTACTTCAAAATCAGCATGCACTTGTACGTGTTGAGGCATGAACCATTAAACATCCTTCATTTGTGTATCCTTTGTGACATTTTCAACCATTTACATTTTTTGTAATCTTTCAAGACTCACTTGCAATAAACATGGTCAATAAGTTAGAAATTAGTCACACGCTTTGCTAGCTTGCAAAGGATGGAATGTTACTACAGTGTATATGCCTGACCTTTATACTGTAGTACCTTAGGTTATCTCACTATCCTAAATTTGCATTAAACTGAGAATAATCTGTACAGTGGCATCAGCATGTACCTTTGTTTTGAACTTCATGTGATGCATTATGATCCAGGGTCCAGGTGTGTGTCTCTTGAAATGCTTTAAATCT